TTAGTCCTTAAAACAAATAAATATAGTTCCTATTATGTTTGGGTGCCCAATTTTAGTCCTAAAAGTAAAAAAATGTAGTCCATATTATGTTTTGGTGTCCAATTTTAGTCCTAAAAACCAAAAAATGTAGTCCCTTAACCTCAATTTAATTAACGGTCCATTTTTGTTAATAACATCAAAGTAGTTGTGTAAAATAATTTAAAACATCGAAAAGATGTAATCAAATTTCAAAGGAACAAATTATTGAGGCACTGGCCATGGACAAAATTGTCATTTACGCAAACCACCTCTCGAACGAGTTATTCAAGCAGTTCCCCAACTGCCGGACGTACGACGACCCAGGAGGCTCGTCAGGGAAATGCGCAAGGCACTAGAAAATGAGCCGGACCCACTCACGGACGAGTGGATGGATTATTGTGTGCAGGGTATGTAATATAAATATATAATTTTATTAATTAATATTTAATAATTAATAATTATGCAATGAATGTATCATGATTTTTATAATCAGGTCAATAATTTGTTCCTTTGAAATTTGATTACATCTTTTCGATGTTTTAAATTATTTTACATAACTACTTTGATGTTATTAACAAAAATGGACCGTTAATTCACATAAATTGAGGTTAAGGGACTACATTTTTTGGTTTTTAGGACTAAAATTGGGCACCAAAACATAATATGGACTACATTTTTTTATTTTTAGGACTAAAATTGGGCACCCAAACATAATAGGGACTATATTTATTTGTTTTAAGGACTAAAATTGGGCACGAAAATATAATAGGGACTACATTTTTTGTTTTAAGGACTAAAATTGGGCACCAAAACATAATGGGACTACATTTTTTGTTTTAAGGACTAAAATTGGGCACCAAAACATAATAGGGACTACATTTTTTTGTTTTAAGGACTAAAATTGGGCAGCAAAAAATAATGGGGACTCAGTCTGGATACCCCCTAAACATGGAGGACCAAAAGTAGACTTTGTCCAATAATATTTATGGAATGTCTGAATCTAGATTATTAATTATTAATATATCACTATTATTTGTCCAAATCTAATTACGAAGCATGATTCTTCGTCAAGTAAGATACGAAGCACCAGAAGCAGCCACGTAGACTTAGTGCATTCAGGAATTATATATAGCGAGGATTATCAACTCCAATAGACAAAAGGACAAGTATTTTAATACATCAATATATAAAAGTTTGATAAGCATCATCGAAATACATTTTCCATGAACACCATTGTAATACTTTCTCTATTGGAATTTCTTAATCACATATAATTTTGTGGTTAATACATTTCCAAATAATGAATTTATTTTATTACTGCATTTTATGAAACACTTATAGAAAACTTAAATGTAAAACATGTTAGATCTAATTTGGGATTAAATATGTGTAATTAATATATTGAGTCATTATATTATTTAGCCAAATTAAGTGATCAAAATTATTGTACATTGACTAAGGAACTTAATTTGGATTGTGAAATGATTAATTGTGAACACCCAGTAGTGAAAATATTTATTTTCACCCCGTTTTGAAGTCTTGTTAAGTTTTTCACACCGCCCAATAAAAAGCTAAGTTTTTCACCCCATAAAGTGCGAAGGTTATGCGAAAACTGTCGCATATTCATCGCATAACTGTCCATATGCGAAGGTTATGTGAAAAACTGTCGCATAACTGTCACATATCAATTGCATAACTGTGAAAAGGCATTGTGCGATGAATATGCGACAGTTATGCAATTGATATGCGACAGTTATGCGACACTTTTTCGCATAACCTTCGCATAGAGACAGTTATGCGATGAATATGCGGCAGTTTTCGCATAACCTTCGCATTTTTTGGGGTGAAAAAACTTAACTTTTTATTGGGTGGTGTGAAAAACTTAATTTGTCTTTGTTATAGGGTGAAATAGATTGTTTCCCATATTATTATTTGGTGACGTTACAAATAATTATATTAAATTTAAGGACTTAAATAGTAAAATAATTTGGGTCAAAATTATTATGGGTGGAGTCTCCAAAAGCTGTGAAAACAAAGTGATGCCTGTCAAGATAACTCATAAGGAATAATAAAAATAAATAAATAAATAAATAAAGTACTTGCGGACACTTTCTATTAAGTGTGTTATCATACAAATAATTATATTAAATTTAAGGACTTAAATAGTAAAATAATTTGGGTCAAAATTATTATGGGTGGAGTCCCCAAAAGCTGTGAAAACAAAGTGATGCCTGTCAAGATAACTCATAAGGAATAATAAAAATAAATAAATAAATAAATAAAGTACTTGCGGACACTTTCTGTTAAGTGTGTTATCATTGACTAATCAATATAAAAGGCATAAGGGGGCATCATTTGGTGAAGAGAAGTTTCTTTTCATATGTCTGAAGAAGAAAAATAAGAATAAGGAAAATAAAGAAATTCATGGTCTTTTGAAAGATTTCCAAATCTCAAATCTAATTAATCAATCAACATGGATTTATTAAGTACGCTTCCGCTATTTGATTATGATTCTCAATTATTCAATATGAACGCTCCTGAATTAAGCGATTTTAATCGCACATACGGTTAAATCCAATTCTATCAAAACAATGTAACTTGTCCAAGAATAATATTATCAGAGCAATATAATTTGTTTGGAAGAGTATTATAGTATAAGTGAAATGTAAGAGTGTAATTTGCTTGGAAAAGTATTATTATAAGGACAATATTAGAATATAAACTCAACCATTTAAATTAATATGTAAACCATAATTCATGTTAATAGTTAGTACCTCAAATATTTTGACATGTACAGTAATTAACTATAAACTCACATTGTCGAATGCTAATATTTGGCGGGAAATATTATATTAATTATGTTATTGTATTTAATTATTTATTTATACTAATGTTGTGTTTGCGTGTGAAATATAAATTTTTACAATAATACCCGTCATAAGAATAGTACTATGTTAAAAACTAAAGTCAAAATTATGCCCCGTAATTAGGGGTGGATGGCAAATGTGGACAACTTCTTTTTGGTTTGGCAAGTTACTGTCATGTTTTGTCACACGAAAAACCGGTCAATCCGGTAACTTGTAGGTAAATTGCATGAATTTTGGGTTTTAACAAGTTTTGGGGCACTTTTGTCAAACCAAAAAGAAGTTGTCCACATTTGCCACACACGCATAGTTACAGGGCACAAAATGCAATTTTGCCTAAACTAAATTAGTCCAATATTTTCCAATTTATATATTTTGGTTACTTACGGGCGTAGACAGTACATTGTACTAAATTACTAATGGTAAGTGACGGGTATTGGGAAGGCCCGATAATTGATCATGTAAACTTTCGTCCAATGTTATGTCGTTCATAATAACAGAGCATGTTTGTTTATGAAATTTTTTGGGTTTATTTGGATTTTTTTTTTTTTTTTTTTTGGTTTGGTTAATTTTGAAAATGTTGTATGATTTGTTTTTAGTGTGTATATTAAAATAATATTTAAAATAAAATGATTAAACTAATTTGAAGTAAAAGTATGAGAGATAAGAAGTGATGTGATGTGATATGATAGTTAATTAAATTTATGTGAGTAGATGAATAGTGAATTAATGTTGATGTGGTGTGTATGAATGATTGGTTGATATTATTTAAATTATAATGATAATATCAAGGTTTTAAATAGCGGACTAAAATGTTTATGGCACTGTAGCTATAGCGGATATTTAGCGGCTAAGTTGCACATGAATACAAATAGCGGCACGCTGCCAAAAAAAGCTATTTCTCAAATAGCGGCAACTTTAGCGAGCTATTTATTTCCTTGGATAATATTGATGATAGTGGTGTTGAATTAAAGTTGAGTTAAAAAAAAAAATGATTGGGTTAAAATGTTGGAAATTTTTTGAAAATTCTTATAAACAAATATGCTCTAATATTCTGAAAATAAATATAAAAATGTCAATGTATATGAACCCACCCAAGAAATAAATAAGTAGAAAAATTTAAACTTGCGAATAAATTAAGTATATAAAAATACATTGTTAAATATATAAAACGTGCACATTTTTTGGGGAGTCGTGTGAAGCTGTCGGTGGACGTGGCGTCAGTCCTCGTTTGTTTTGGGTCAGCCTTATTATCTGAATTGGAAGGAGGAAGGAATTTCTATGGTATTGTTTGAAGGGGTTGGTATATTCCTATCCAAGTCATGGCGCTTCTCAATATCTGGACTGCGTTTGAGAATTTCGGGTATCTCGACGGATTGTTGGCCGTGTTGATCAACCTCGCGCTAGGCTTCTCCTGCGCATACCCGCTTTCCGCACCCTTTTTTGTCGCCATCATCTCTCTTGCTCTTCACTTTGTCAAAGATCTCCACTTCAGACAACAACAAGATTCAAGTAGCTCGATCGCTCGAGTTCAGGACTGTCCGGTTTAATAATTAATTTCTTGCCTTATTCACCTTTTAACAATAATTTTTGTTATGTTTATTATTTGCCTCTACATATTACTTCCATAATAAGATTTTATCCTTCCCTAAGATTTTATTATTATTTTTTTTTTGGAGAAAAAGGACCTACCTGTAATATTATTAATTTATTATTATTATTATTATTATTATTATTATTATTATTATTATTATTTCAAAGATTATTAATTTATTATTATTATTATTTCAAACTTTATCAAGTAATGGAGATAGTTTCTTGATTTGGACAACTCAATCATATATAGATGCAAAAAATAAAGTAAGAATATGATAGAAAACATCTTTTCTTAAAACTAAATATAACTATAAAATGATGCTACAACTGCTAATGTGCATTAACTTTTGCATTCTATACACAAACAGGCATTCACCAAAATGTGGCCTTTTGATCTACAGGCATATATGGCCTTCACTATATCCTAATTTTTTTTATATATTGACACAATTTAAGAAAAAAAAAAAAAAAAGTTTGGATTCGTAATTTAGACCGGAAGCCACGAGCCAACGCTTCAGCAGTTCAAACTAAGGGCTCTGTTTGGGCAGAGATGCAATAGTGGGCTCGGGAAGGAGTTGGCCTTATCGTGACGCTTAGTACGAATGCTATCATCTACATTAAAACATTTTAAAAAAATTAACGACAATTACTAATTTTTATTTTGCTCGTTTATATATATGGCCGAGGAACTTACAGCTGCTAAGCCGGAGACCATAATGCTGAATCCAGGAAAGTGAAATGGTGCATCGTCCGATAAAAACAATGCTGTAGAAAGAAAGCATGAATTTAATCAGATTCTATTTTTCACTAAACCTTTTTTTTTAATATTTGAAGTTGGAAAAGAAGGATTATATATAGTTACCTGTCAAAGGGGTGAAAGCAAGAGGAGAGACAATGTTGGCGAAAGAACATATGCCCGTAATGCACCCTTGCGTCTTTCCCTATTACCGTTCATTAACGTGCTTTAGAGCAATTTAATCGAAAAAAATCTCTAAATGTTTAATCTTTTCGAGACAGTAACAACAGTAACCTGCTCACTCGGCCCTGTTTCTTTCGATGCAATGCTTCGTAGCTGTAAATAAATATGAAGAGAATAATATTAGAAAACTTTGATCAAGATGATTTTTTTACGATTCGATAGCTAAAAAAAAAATATACTTACACATGGCAGAGCAAAAGTAGCTACAACGGTGATCATTGCTGCTACATAAGGAACCTATAGAAATATATGCACAAAGTTTCACTCTTTATGATTATTTCCAAATACGAAATAAGTTTCGACTTAAAATGTCGTTATATCGAAAAAGTAAAAAAAAAATTACCCAGGGAGCCCAAGCAATGCTGTAAAGTACCATCTGCGTCGAAGAAAATGTAGTGAAATGTTAGCTGCTGTACTTGAGAATATTTGTTTCATGAATGAAAAAATGAATTAAAAATATATAGAGTTCATTCTTACGTGAGCACAGCCGAAAAAGAGGCCCACAGAGAGCATCTTCTCTTCTCCGATGAGCGGAGTTAACAACGGCATGACGATGAGCTGAAAAGACGATGCAAAACAGAGTCAACCACACTAAATTTTGAGTTATTCGAGCCAATTAATGTATGTATGGTATAAAAATTACTACCTGTGATATCGATCCACCAATCCCAACAATTATCATGAGGTCCGCGAATTCGTCTTTGTTAAAGTGAAATTGAGCCTTCAAGTAATACTGCACAATGTTTGCCGCCAAAATTTAAAAGACACATCAATTCAAATATTTCGAAATGAAAAATAGATAAATCGTTCAAGAGTTGTGTATTTACCATCAAAGAAGCATTGAGTCCAACTTCGGCAACATTGATAAAGAATGCAACAACGGCCGCTTTCGAGAAAGTGGGGCTGAAAAACATAAAAGAAGGCGAGCATTAGCATAAAGTAGGAGCGTGCAAACGTAAATGATTTGTAGAATTATGATGTTTTTACTTAATCCGCAACAAGCAAATGGCGTCGTCCACAGAAGGCAGAGTCCGTAAAAGACTCGATTTTTTCATGGGACCTTTCTCGACAAGACAATCAGTCTCTGTGGCCTTTGAACAAGTGCTGTTGTTGGACTCTGGAAGAAAGACTCTCATATAGAGCAGTGCAATAATCGACATTGCTGCAGCTACCTATACAATGAATAAAGAAAATTGCATTCTTACTAAATTACTATTTAACAATTTTCTTTGTTCACTAAATACAGGCAAAACATATTGTTTCGATGGGAATTAACTTGGGAAAAAAAATACTTTAAATGTGTCTGAAGTCGATAGAAAACGAGTCGAGAAGTTCCCGAATACGAAAGAAGAAGATGCAAATCCGGACATGATCCCGAAAACAGCAGCCCTTTTGCCCTCTGGAACATTATCTGCCTGCAAATTTTTTTTTTGAAAAAAAAAAAGTGAACAAAAATTGTGAAAAACAAGTGTTCATAGTGAATGAGTGAGTAATTCATTTAGCTAAAGACTAGGTAAAAATATAGTATGGTAAGTAAAATTTGTAACAATTAGCATGCCTATATATAAAGAATTAAAGATGCTATGGTCCCATTACGGAACCATTCCGTCGGGGTCTGTAACCGTCAGATCAACTATCTTTGACGGTTACATGATGATCTAACGGTTATAAATCCCGACGAAATGATTCCGTAACGGGACCTTAGCATTTCCAGGTGAAAAAAAAGGGAAAACATTTAAGTTACCACGTATGCAAGAGCAAGAAACTGAACACTTCCTTCAGTTGCCATGGAAATCAGAGTTTTGAGAGCATAGTAAGCGTAGAAGTAGTATTTTGTCCTGTTGTACGCCAATATTACTGCGGCCCATAAATTGAATTAGTTAATATCCTAACACATTTGTTTTTACAATAGAATTATTAGAAAGGCCAAAAAAAATATATATATATATATAAAAAATAAAATAAATCTTGGTAAATAAACAAAATAATCATTTTTTTTTTTTTAATCTTGGTAAAATTATTACAGTGGGTGGTAATAATTTTAATTGAGAAGAAGTATTATAGTTTGTACGGGCCCAATACGTGGGCCCGCTAATATGGGCTCTATAAGTTGTTTGCGATGCTTTGAGAACATGTAAAGGGTTTCCATTTTGGTCAGTCAATTATAATAACTTTACAAGCACGCTTATCTAACTTGAATTATTAACATTTTTCAGAAAGTAGCAGCATTTTTCATTATTAACATTTTTTTAGGTAATTTTTCAACATTAACTGTTGAAAAATATAATTATCAACAGTTATTAGTTGTTTCTTAAAAATAATTATCAAGTTTTCAACCATTATTATTACCCATCTAGTGCTGTTAAGTTAAATGAGCTTGATTCGAGTTCGAGGCCTTAACGAATGGTTAACGAGTCGAGCTCGGCTCGGCTCGATAAGACTCGTTAAGGCCCGAAAATAGAATTTATATATATTTTTTTTAAAGTTCGTCTCGTCAAAGCTCGAGATCGTCTCGTTAAGGCACGAGCTCGAGACCTTAACGAGCCGAGATCGAGCCCATCATTTCAAAGTTTACTAGTTACTATTATAACCCGTGCGACATTTGTTCCGCCATACGTTATAATTGTATTGACGAAACAACATATCTAATGCAAGCGCGTTTATTTATCCGACCATTTTTCCTAAGATTAGATATATGTCCTCTTCACAATACTTTTTACCTGAAATACAATTATTATTTAATTTTAATTTTGACAAAAATAAATAAAAAATTAAGGTAATATGAAAAATAATTAATTAAGGTCACTACAAGAATAATCATTTTTAGTGACGACAATTTTTGTCGCTATGTCGTCACAAAAAATACCGTCACAATAAGATGTATTACTGTGACGACATCTAGACATATAGCGATAATATTAGGACATTATTAGCGACGGTATTTTTTCTGACGACATAGCAACAAAAATTATCGTCACTAAAAATAATTATTCTTGCAGTGGGTTAAGGTTACCTAGTGGGAAGAGTGAGAGAGTCATGGGGACAGTAAGCATGACTTTTCTTCCATAACTGTCCGAGAGATTCCCAACCAAAGGCATTACCACAACTGATCCCAAACCTATCATCTGCACCCAAATTCATTACACACACAACAATTATCTCTTTATTATCATGTATATTATGCATTAAATACAAGGTTGAAAGGACTACTTAATTAGTGTGTTTGAAAAGCTTTTTGAGAGAACAACTAATGTTTTGTATAATGGTTTTATTCTGCCAGTCATGAGTACAGGCGTGTACTCAGCTGCCACATACATGACACATAGGATTTATCCAATCTCGATCCCCCCTGCTAGTAAACACCAGATATAGTTGGTTAAGGAATGTTATTCAATCCTATTCTGGTAAGTAAACGGGGCCTTGAGGGATCACAATTTTTCCATATATTGAATTCTACAATTTATACTTAGTTGTTTGCGGTTTTGCTATGAAGTCAACCTTCTACATACAACAAGTAAACTTATCATATTCTCTGATGACTTAAATAACACTAATAATTTCATTAATATGGTATGATTTTTACTTGCTGTATACAGAAGGTTGGCTCCACTGTAGAGTCAACGGTTGGCTTCATAGCGAAACTGGTGTTGTTTGTTTCCATCTTTTTTGTTTTATCCCTAATTTCCATGATCGAAAAATTAATAAATATATAACATATTGTTTGTGTTTATATTTTCAATTCTTAATATTTTTTGGTACAATAACTATCCTAACCCAATTTAATAAATTCAGTATCAAAAACAATTTTCTTTTTTTAATAAAAAATAAATTTATGTGGCAACTTTGAATGTCATAAATGTCCATAATTTTCCTTGTTAAGGCGACACATCACGAAACCGAAACTTTAAGTCGAAAATTGGCAATGGGGGAGAAAGTGATGTTAGCAAGAGCAAACGCAAACGGATTGATTCCAATGGAAGGCAATAATAATTAAGTTATACATTTACAGTAGAGTTAAGACAGATGTAATCATTGTTACTCTCAGTATTTATGTATATTAGTATTCGACCATGTACAAATCAAATCGAGCATCAGATAATTAAATAAGTGAATATATATATAGTATTAACATATATATTTATATGCATATATATATAATCACCTCCTTTTATTAAGTCCTTTTTCAATTTATTTAATACTCCCTCCTATTTTTTTTTAAAATGTCATTCTAGTTTTATCAATTATTTGTCAAATAAATATCGTTTTAGATATTTTGTACATATTTTTTCATTATTACCCTCATTTAGCCAATAAATACATTACGTCTTTTTCATATTCACTCTTCACTTTTTCCAAAACCATTATATCTATCTTTATTAAATAGAATTATTATTGACAAAAAAAATATATTCTTAATTAACGTGTAACTTCTCAAAACGACATGTATTAAAAATAAGAGATAGTATATTCTTCGGAAGAATGTTCCGTGAAGAAGAAAAATTAATCAAAAAGGACTTTATAACCGACCACGACTTCCTATAGTTACATTAAGTGGCAAGAAGTCAAAAATTAATTAGTAAAAGATGGTGATTGCAGGCATATGATATCACAAAAGATTTACCACTACACTTTTTTTCTACCAAGCAGTAATAAATGCCTGTCCATTTCATGAAACGAGAAATAGGAAAGATTCGACCTTAGTGTGTTTGACCCATTTTTTACCGTCGCATACACCCATACACATACGCGTGTAATTTAGAGGAAACCACGGGTCACCTGGCCAGATACGGACCCGGCTCGGTTCCTGCCCGGTCAAACCCATTAACCACGGGTCTAGGCACGGCTCAAATTTTAAACGGGCCTGTCCAGGGCCTTACTTTTTGGCCCTGACCCGGCAGGCCCGAAAAACCAATTAGCTTTTGTTTGTTTTTAATTTTTTTTTTCTTTTTTTAATGGATCATGCTACATGTATACTTTGATGTACCATTTAATTTACATTCAAGGGGTACATGTACCCATTTACCCTTAATGAATAATTTAAATTATTCATTAAGGGTAAATGGGTACATGTACCCCTTGAATGTAAATCAAGTGGTACACCAAGGAGTACATGTAGCATTGTTCTTTTTTAATTGTACAGACCCAGACCTAGGTCGGGCCGGTTTGGGGCCATGAACCCGGCACGACCTAGGTCCGTGCCGGTTTAGGATCCAGGATTCCGAGCCTGTCGGCCCCGGCCCGGGCCCATTCTAGTGTGATCCAATGATTATAAATACCTAGTTTAACAATTAAATACATACATATTTTACCCCAAAAGTTCAAGTTTACTGCGTATTTAAAACATGCATGTCTAGGCAAATGGCATGAAAGGTTACATAATTATGACGGTATAGTTATGATTTTATACTTTTAGCATTCATCTTCGTTGCATCAATTCGTAGGTGACATTAATTCATCTACTAATTTCATCTCATTATAATACTTAGCCAATAATAATAAA